TAGTTATGAGGTGGAGGGGGGGGGGGGGGTGGAAACAGTCATGAAACACGTGGATGGTTCCAGCACCAAAACTTCCTGTCTAGATCAAGTATTTCACTAGCAGTTAAAACACCTAACAAGTATGTTATTACAGTATAAACAAAACTGATCAATGAGATGGATTCAAATTGTAGAGGTTTTTATATTTGTTACTGTAACCTTCTGAGCCAATCTACAGAAGATATGAATTGCTACACATCCCAAGCTCAAGCTGTTGCACATCATACGTTATGCTCTGAAGGTCCCCAGTGTGTCAGCCAAGATGACCACATTCAGTCCTGCCAATGGGGGGAGGGAGGGAAGGGCAGGGCAGGGCAAAGGGGTCAACTGCCTCAAGGCCTTGATGATTCAAAGGGCCCAGGGCTCAGGCTGCTGCAGCAGTAGTGGCAGCTGAAGCCCTGGACCCCTTTGAATTGCTGCCTGAGCACCATTCCTCACCCTCAGAGCTACGCAGAAGGAGGTGGGGAGGGAAACCATTGCCATCTAGGAGGCTCCTAGGGCTGTCTGCCCCAGCTCTGCCCCTTCTGCTCAAGGCCCTACCCCTTCCTGGGCAGGAACCCCACAGCTTGCCCTGAGGCCTGCAGTGGCTGTCAGCCCTGCTGAGTTCATCGTATTTTATTGAAAAGATCTGTGGCACATTGATGTGCCTCAATGATTTAAATGTGTCCCATATTCAAATATGACTTGGTGCTCTAAGTCTCACTGAAAGATAAAAGGCTTAGCAGCAGCAGTCCTGTTAGGTGCTCTAAAAAATTACACTCGATAGCTTTAAACACAAAGTACGAAAACGATAATTTCCAGTACCTTTTATTTATAGTGTCTTTCAGCTCTGATTGCTTGATGAAAACACTAAGCATAAGCTTGTCACTAATTTTGCACTTATCTGTGCATACAATTCCCTGTCCTTTGATAGTTTTAATATTCATCTACTGTATGTTATACAAGTGTTTCTTTTATTCTAGATCCAACAACACATTTTAATCAGATGGACTCCTACAATCAATATCAGTTGCTACTGTAGTTTTATTCTTTTTCCTTAGGACCTGGAAAAAAGATCTACAAATGTGTAATTTATGACATTATTAAGCAACCTTCCTGCCCATAATCTTTTGGCTTGGAAGGACAGAACTTCCAGAATACTTCTTGATATATTTTTCGTACAAATTCCATATTTCCCTTACCTGTCAGCAGCTGAGGTTCCGGGAAAACTACTGAGCACACTTTACACGTCCACTGGCTGGACTCTGCTTCACTACTTTCTGGAGCGCTCACTAGGAGATGTAAGAAGAGGCTGTTAAAAGTTTTTTAAAAAAAGGCAGCAAACCTTTCAGAAGCCTGCTGGGATTTACTATCCTGTTTCAAAGGAAGACCAAGGAGAAGAGATTACAATCAACCATTCATGAAAAACCCAAGGAAGTAGCTTCTGCCATCCGGCGCTGGTATGTTAGTGTTGTAAGGAACAGGTGGGATAAAAACTACACCTGCTCTGTTACTTTAATATGTACAAAATGCCAGAAATTACATACAAGGACTAATATTTAATTCCTGGGAAGGCTGCAGACAGGACTTTCCCATGCCAATGTTTTAGGAGCCAAAATCGTAAGTGGGGGGAAAAAAAGAAAAAAAAGAAAAAGGAGAGATTTATGAGGTGGGAGCCCACCTATGCCTCATTTGAGTTGTAGATAGGATGTTCCTTTCCTTCTTCCTAAATTAAGTGGAGATGAAAGGAATAGCACAAAAGGCACACCTGGAGTGACAAAGCCGGGGTAACTTGAGAATGAGAGTTACCTGGATCTGGACTAATTGGGGATACAGACTGAACAAAAGCGACTAGGAGTCCTGTGGCACCTTATAGACTAACAGATGTACTGGAGCATAAGCTTTCATGGGCAAAGACCCACTTCGTCAGATGCGCCTGACATGCATCTGACGAAGTGGGTCTTTGCCCATGAAAGCTTATGCTCCAATACATCTGTTAGTCTATAAGGTGCCACAGGACTCCTTGTCACTTTTGCAGATCCAGACTAACACGGCTACCCCTCTGAGACTGAACAAAGTACTCTCTGGAAAGCACCATGGAAATACTAACATTTGGGCTAACATAAATAAGGGTGGTGATAAGGAAATCACTTATTGAACAGGTTAGTAAGCTGGATATTTTGCCAGATGAGCACATTAGCGTTTTGCTTAAGTGATTTCCCAGCTCTTACATACAAAGAAAGGAAAGTAGGACATTATTTTAAGTAACCATGCAACACATAATGCTATTTGGGATTTCTAGAGGAAAAAGAAGGGAACAGATTCAGGAGAACTGTTTAATAAATAACAGTGGACTGTGAAAAGAGATTAAGTTCCAAACATGCCATCTAAAGATTCATCAGGCAAGACATCTATAACATTGTGCAGATGTTGAAGATCCTTGAAGTTGAATATTTCATAATCCAATGAAATTCCTCAGCCTGCCACACAGGTAGCCAAGGATATCAAGGACCATATTTCATTTTGGAACCCGTTTCCAACACAGAACATTTCAAAATCTCAATTCCATTAAAATTTCTTGAGTCTTAAGATTTTGTCCCAATTCTGGATGAAAATTTTTCTGCAAATTTGAAGTTTCTCACAGAGCTGAAATTCAGTTTCCCATCCAGCTTTCCCATTCCTCACAATAACTGTACTGAAGCTAGCCAAATAGAAGTGCAGAACACTCCACAGGAAAAGCCCCCAAGACCAAGAAAAATACATCTTTTATGTTAATAAGCAAAATTTAGCACATAGCCACCTTTCAAAGAACAGTGCCAGATTTATCTTCTTTTGATCTGGATTCCAAGCTCAGAGACCCTAATTTGGATTTGAAGTGTGGCAATTTTTTAAAAAAATAATATTTTTTAAAATTTCTTTCCCTCAGTTACAAAGATTAGATTTTTTTTCTGCTTCATACATGTGGGGAGTGGGATCCAGTCTCTAGAACAAATTCAGGGTTTCCAATAGGGATGTAAGAGTATAACATTTAAATGGTTAACCGATAAGCATCAGCTTATTGGTTTCCACTATGGCTACACTCTGGCTCCCGGGTTCTGCTCCTGAAGAGTCAGCTACCGCTCTGCGCTGCAAGCTCTGCAGTATAAGGCTTATACTGTACAGCCTGCAGCACAGCTGCCTCCCTGGGAGTGGGACCAGCAGCTAGTGAGTACAGGAGCTGGCTGATATAAGAGCTTGGAACATGTGTAACTGCTAGGATTTTTAATGCTTACATAGTTACTTTAACCGCTTTTGTACATCCCTGGGTTCCAAACAATCTGTTCTTCATCAGTATTATCCTCCTTGCTTACAAGTTTAAGATTTTTAATGATATCCTTCTACTTTAGAATAAAATACACATCTGCCTGAAAAAGTTTCCATGTCCCTTCACTTATTCCATGTCCCTATATAGAAGCCATGAAGGTAATAAAATTAAAATAGAAAAACTGAAATTTTCTCCCCATTAAAAATTAGATGCACTGCACCGATACCTAATATTTACTGCATGTCATGTAAACATGATGTTTCTATCACTGCAAAAGACTGCACTGAGCAGCTTTTTCGCTCTACCAGATCTGCCCTTAAACTGTCACTAATGGCTCCATGCAGCATAGATAGGAACACAGGATGAAATATTTTATTTACCTGAGAAGTCAGCGCCAGGCACACTGGACTTCCTTATTTATTTTTTTTAAGAGAGAAGACAGCACTGGGAGGCTTTGAAGAGATTTTATTCCCTTCCTTGTCACATTTCATCACTACTAAGCATACATCTGTGGTGGGAGGAAAACACAGGTCCTTTTTGTTACTTTCCCAATAAATGATGGTTTGGTATCCTGGGTACCAATGTGACAGCTGCTCTGGTGGCATAGCCTGCAGCACCCACAGGTCTTCAACAATTATCTTCGTGAGTTTACATCTAGACTGCAAGCTTCTTTCAGAAGAGAGCATCCACACCTCAAAACTAGATCAAAAAGCAATCTGCTTTTTCGAAAGAGAGCGTCCAGACTGCATGGACGCTCTCTCGAAAGAAAGCCCTAATTGCTATTCACAGAATGGCCACCAGAGCACCTGTGCTTTTTTTGATTGCCTCTTCTTTTGAAAAATGTCCCTGTTCTGCATCCACACATGCCTTTTTTCGAAAGAGCTATTTCGAAAAAGGCATTCTTTCTCGTAATTTAAGGTTTACCAATGTCTAAAAAAACCCTGCCTTCCTTTGATTTAATTTTGAAAGAATGTGATTGCAATGTGGATGCAGGTGAAGTTTTTTCAAAAAAAAGGGCAGTTTTTTCCAAAAAACCAATGTAGTCTAGACATACTCAGAGAACTAATCAAGGCAAAACAATATGCATGCCTGACTTCTGCATAATAACTTACAGTTTAGAATCCAGTATACAGCAGCATCACATAGCACAAATGAACACTTGGTACGCACTAGGGATGTAAAAACTGGTTAAACCTTCACATCCCTAATATGCATATGTATGGATTTCACTGTGTATGGATATACTATCTTGCACAGGAAGTAAGTCTCCATATTTTCATTAGACAACAAAAATCAATTATTAAAGAAGGGGCAAGTGGTGGTGGTGGGGGGAGGGGGGAGAGGTCTGGAGTGCCCCACTCCCTGCAACAGGCCAGGGCTGCTTCAGTGTCCTGGTCAGAGCAACCCCGTACCTGCAGGGTATTTGGGCCCACCAGAGCAGTCCCTGTCCACAGTGGGCCCCCACAGGGCTAGCACAGCCTCCTTCCCACAGCAGGTGGGGAGGTGCTCCAGCCCCCCAGTTAACCTTTACTGGTAGTAAACATGTGTAGTAAGAACATAAGAACAGCCATAATGGATCAAATCAAAAGTCCATCTAGCTCAGTTTCTTTTCTTTTCTTCTGACAGCGGTCAATGCCAGGTGCCCCAGAGGGCATGAACAGAATAGGGAATCATCAAGCAATCCTTCTCCCGTCATCCATTCCTAGCCTCTGACAGAGGCAAGGGACATCATTCCTACCCATCCTGGCTAACAGCCATTGATGGACCTAACCTCCATGAATGTATCTAGTTCTTTTTTGAACCCTGTTGAAGTCCTGGTTTTCACATCTTCTGGAAACAAACCTTCACATCTCAAGTATGCACACATATGGAGTTCACTGTGTATGAATATACTACTACCTTACATAGGAATGTAATCTCCATATTTTCATTAGACAACAAGATCACTAAGCCACTTACGCTTTGAGGCAATTTTGAAGAGACCAACCTACAAACGTACATATCCATTCTAATATTTAGCACAGACTTGGAGCTTCATCCAAACGAAACAGAAAACCTTGACAGAGGATATTTGATTGCATCTTGCAATACATTCGCAGGATTAACTAACTCTGATTTTTTTTTTAAAATAAAAATCCAGAGAAAAGGAAGGTTTTCAGTTTATACCACTTGAACATGAAAACTACTTTGCCAGAATGATCTAAATACCAACCAGATTTACAGCACTTCATATTGCCCGTTGTGCCATCAAAAAGACAAAGTTACCAACCACAGTGACAGCACTGGTACATCACAAAGCCATCTGCTCTACAGTCATCATCCTAGAATGACACTGTATAGTAAAGTGTTCTCAACTAAACAGCATCACCACCACTCTGGCAATGCTAATGGGTTGTTGTTGTTTTGGCTACAGAAATGTAAAGGTAGAAGAGAACTGAAAGGGAAACTATTATCTGTATTCCTGTAGCACAAAGAATAGAAGCTTTAATGTCAGAGTAAAGCACTCTGCTTTCCTTTGCAGAATCTCTAGTAAACATTAAAAACAAAAGCTCAGTTTGCACTCATCTCGTTTCACAGGGCTCGACATAAGACTGCTGACAGCACATGTAATTGCTCCCAAATGTACGACACACTATGGTAAATACAGACAGCTTCATTGCAATTAAAAGAAAAGACGGCTGCTTCTCAGGTGATCTGTTTATGTGTTTGGACTATACTAACATTTGAATTGCTTTAGGAAGAAATATGAAAGCTCTTCCATAAAGAAAAAAGTGTTGAAGAAATGAGTGATTCTGCAACTAATGACTACTTCCCCAATCCTGGATCTCAAGCTACAGAAAAACCAGTTAGGACATGTATCTCTTTTAAAAGATGTAGTTAACACTTGGTGCAAAACCTTGGCTTCTTTCCTCTAAGATAGAAATGCATCTGAGAGTTCAATTTTTTTAAAACAGCTGCTGAACTCAGGAGGAGGATGAGTATCTAGTTGGATTGTGGGCCCTTAGGGAAGAAGAAAAAGGCTCCCAAACGTACCATTGGCAATACTAGTGACCTGCTTCAGCACTGGCTTTTCCATTTTTTTGGCGTAAAAAGCTGCATACCACACTCGCAGCTCAGTTCCAGGGGGGATGTCCCGAGAAGTGGTGAAATAAATATCATTGTCATGCTGGAAGGCAGTCAGGTTCTGGTGTTCATATTCAGTGGCTGCTCTCACCATCATCATCCAATTGCAGTCATCTTCGTTAGAGGTATCAAAATAAACCAGGGGCCCATCCTTCTGGAAAACCTGTGAGCCACCCATGCAAACAAAATGAATTATGTAATTCAAACAAGAGGAATAATACATTATTGTTCTGAATAATAAATAAGACTATTTATTTTGTATCTGGATGGTGTCTTTCACCCATGGGTCTCAAAATGCTTTAGAAACAAAGAAAGCCTGAACATTCCTGTGAGCCAGGTATCACATGCTTTCAGATGTGCAAATTGAGGCACAAACACTAGCAAAATCACACAAAGTTAGTGGAAAAATAGGAGGAGATCTCAGGAATTCGGACTCAAAGTATGATGCTTTCGTCTCTAGATCACAGTTCCTCCCTCAAAATTTAACTTATTTACCTATAATGCGTAAGGAAAAAAATCCTCAACTCTTCTTAGCCTTGATTTTGGTTTCTAGATCTTTTATTTCTGATATTGCAAGAGAAATAAATGAAACAAAAATGAGAAGAAAAAACCTTACAAACCACCTTTTCTTCTGGATGTTGGTTAAAAAGCACCATGACATCTTATGTACCTGTCGAGGCAAAAGTAAGCTAGCATTTGACACTCCCTATAAGAGAAATGGGATCAAAGCAAAACCCTTCATTAAATACCTGGAGCACTCACCTTTCATGACCTGAATCTAAGTTTTGTGGCCTTAACCCATCTCTATTGATCAGTTTATATATATCATATTTAAAACTAATCTTATGTCAGTAATATCTTGTGACGCCATACTGTACCTTCAGTGGAAATGCTGACTCCTTTTCCAGTTTGGCAACTCTTTTGCATTCAAAGGGGCCAAACTGGGTACGTTTGACCAGCTGAGTCACTGCAAATACTCCTTCAGTCCCATCTTCCAGTTGTCTGATCTCCAAATTGGAAGGAAGGGATGACCTGTTGTAAACAAAAATGAGAGAATCTAAGTACCATGTGAAGTAGCTTTGCAGAACAATTCTCACAAAGTCCAAAAGACAAAGTTCAAAGTCTAAAATCCTGCTTCTCAAACTAGCAGGTACCAGCAGTCTAGCCAGGAGTCAGGACATGACACAGCACAAATTATTCACCGCTCCCCCACCTCACCACTGGACACAGCACAAAAACTGCCCTCTGCCTCCACCTCACTCCAATGCCAGCATCCAACCACACCTTTCCCCCACCTCCCCAATGCAGTCAGACCCTTATCTCCCCTTGAGGCTTGAGGAGAGTGCTGGGTTTCTGTCTCTCTCCTCTCCTACAGATGGGACTCTGACTTCCTTCCCCTCTGACTCGCTCTCAGCTAATTATTCACTCCTTCCCTCCCTCCTCCTCGCAGCCACTTATTCTGTCCGTATCTTCCTTTTTAGCTGCTCTAGGAACTCTTCAGTTCAAGCACACAGCTTGCTCCGTTTAGTTGCTGCTTAAGAGATGTCCCCTCCCCCTACCAGTCAGCTGAGCTCCCTGCCTGTGCTGGAGCTTTGAACCTCTGAGTGGAGCTCAAAAAACAGCTGCGTGCCTATACAGCTTTCTCTATGTTATCCCCTCTTCCAGCCATGATGGAAGCTCTCAGTGGGAACTGTGCTGACAGGGCTTTGTAGAAGGGTAAGGAAAAGAGAGCAGTCAGGGGCTGCTCTCCATAACACCATCCCTTCTTCTGGGTCTAGATTTCCTTGTGAAAATCTGGGCAGCGGATAATACAGAGTGTGCTGTCATTACCTCCCATTGAGTGGCCCTTCTCAGCTGCAAGGAGACCTAGTCAATGGCAACTAAGCTCCAGCAACAGGAGAGAAAAGAGAAAAGCTGGCCAGTTCCTTTCTCTTCATGCACTAAAGTTCTCTAGATGTGTGGGATTGGCAGGGGGATGCCAAAATCCACAGCTCCATATCCCCCTCAATAACTCAGAGGCCAAAATCTCCCGCCCCACACACACCATATATTTCTCCATCTGTTTTCCCACTAAAGGATCAATTTGACCAATCCTGAGCATTTACAGAACGTTAACATTCAAAAAGTTATGATAGCTGGTCAAATTTTGCTCAAATATAAGTTTTATAAAAGCAAGTTATTACAAAGCCTATACTCAACAGAAACGATTCCAAACATTTTTAAAATTCCAATGAAGTAAAGTTTATAAACAGACAAAACATTCCCCCAGCAGTGTTACATATCTCAGCTTTTCACCACTGTCCCGATGAACAAGAACCTAAATGGCTAGAAACCAACTATAAACAAAAGGTAAAACTGACCATGAAAGTTGAGAGAAATATAAAAAGAAAACCAACTGAACCTTTATTGAAAAGCATAGGCAAATTTTAAAGTATTAATAACCTAAGAGATCATGTTATAACAACACAGGGAAGGGCATACTTATTTCTAATCTTAAGAAACAACCAACAGGCAGCATCCACTTAACCCCTTCAATAGGACAGAAAAAAGGTCATCTTGTGGTTAAGTCATTAGACTGGGCCACAAAAGATCTGTGTTCCAGTCCCAGCTCTGCTGCAGACTTTCCATTAGAACTTAAGGTAGTCAGTCTGTCTCTGTCTCAGCCTCAGCTCCCAGGGATGGCAATATTTGTCCCACCCTCTATTTTCCACTTTCATTTAGACTATGGGTTTTCAAACTCAATGGTTTCACAACGGCCAGGAACAGCAAGCCGCAGCCAATGGGAGCTCTGATCACCTGTACCTGCAGAGGTGCAGGTAAACAAAGCATCTTACAGCCAGCTAGCAGCTTGCCCTTACAAGCCATGACCCAGAGTTTAAAAACCCTGATTTAGAATGCAAGCTCTTCAGCAAATGGACCATCTCATCTTAGAATACATTTGTACAGTGACATCTGTTGGCGTATCTAAGCATTTCTGTAATTCCTGGTGGTATGGGGGAGAGGTGCTCGTCCACCAAAGGTGCCATGTTGAAGAGAAAGTTAATATGGACAATTTAGCTCTCAATTAGTCCATTTGGCACCGATTTAACATTCACTGAATTGCCCCCATGCTTTCCATTAGACATCCTTCACTGACATTCTGTGTTCCTACAGTGGTCAAAATCCCATTATAAGTGAATTCTCTCTCAAAGAAAAAAAAATCCAAACATTCGACAATATAAAGGTTACTACTCAATTTTGTTTGATCCTATTTCTAACTCTGTATTTAATTTGCTAATTTCTTTAGGCAAGCATAAAAATTTCTGTTATCTTATTACAAACCTAGATTTACATGTAAAACTGGTATTCATCATCACGCTTTAGAAGACTTACAAAAATGGAAATGTAAGTCCATTTTCCCCAGTTTTGCCTCTCAGAGCAGAGAATTACAAAGGCAATGCAAAGCAATGCAACTCCTATTAATGTGAGTAGGAAATTCCCATGAACCATTCTGAAAATGTACACAGCATGTGTAAGGAGGATTGGGATAAATATCAAAGATGCTCAACCAATACAGGAAACGAGTTTCTATCTCAGGCTACGTCTATACTACAAGTCTCTTGCGGAAGAGTAAATACAAGCCTCTTGCGGAAGCACTCATTTGCATAGGTTGCGCTCTCATTTGCATTTCCTCTTCCTTTCCCTTTGGCGCAAGAGGTTTTTGTGCAAAAAAACGCTTTATAGATGTCACCTTTTTGCGCAAAACCCTCCCTTTTGGGCAAGAGCCGTTTTTCCTCAAAAAAGGGGAAAGGAAGAGGAAATGCAAATGAGAATGCAACCTATGCAAATGTGCACTCCATTTGCATTTGCTCTTCTACAAGAGGCTTGTAGTAGAGACGTAGCCTCAGAGTTGCCAAGGAATGCATAAACAGAGATTCTCTTAGGTCTTGATTCAGGAAGCCATTATTTAAGTATGTACTTCAATTCTTTGTTAAATTGTGGCTGTATCCATTTAGTTGACAGAGGACTTCATTTTTCAACTGTCAGTATGGTGCCTTCCACAAAGACTGGAACTTTAAATTTAAAAGACAAAATTATTTAAAAAAATCAAACCTCACTGTCCCACTAACATTATTTACCTTGCTCTGCTCAAAACAAAGGAATCTTTGACTGTCACCACTGGGCCAAGCTCAGGACACTCCGAATCGTGGTACTGACCGCAATCCTCGCACCCTGTAAGTAAACAGCAGATGGAGCTTCAAGGAAAAATGCTGTCTTTAGGTTGCTCTTGCTCAGTCAGCAGCCAGACAGAAAATTCAAACATCAAACTACGTACAATAAATAAGAAATCTGTACTGCCCCAAAGCATATACAAAATTGAATCAAATGCATCATTCAACACATATCTAGGATTACCAGGAGGCATTTTAAAAATTTTAATATTTTCCTAAAGAAAATATTTGCCAAAATCTTCAGTAAATATTTTATTTAAAGGCAGCAGAAGCTTTTAAAAAAAAACACAACAAACACTGCACTAGCCTCTCTTAGTTAATAAAATCACTATTTTGTTCAATGAAGCTGTGTGTTAAAATGCATAGTCAAAATCTGATGGGTTCTCAGAGAAGTGAAATCTTGGCCCTACTGAAATCCATGGCAAAATTACTATTGGATTTCACCCTGGATACCATGCTCTTCTCACAGCTGTAACCTGTGCAACTCTTCTTTGCATATATATGGCTGGGGTAGATGGGGGGGGGGGAATTTGGCACCACAGCAACAGCTCCTCTGGACCTCTGCTTCCTTTCTAGTGAAATTTGACAATTCTTTATTATGGGGTAAAATAATACAAGCTTTCAGTTCCCCTAAATTGACTTTTATTCTAAAATACTATAATTATTGTTAGCTAAAGGGAACCCATGAAGCAACCTTTAGCCCCTGGGTAAGTATAAAATAAAACTCAATAAGAGTTGAAACATATTTCCATGTCACAAAGAGCTGTCAAAATATTGTGATGCCAACTGACTAGATAGGGACAAGAAGTCACAACATAGGGATTATTCCTTAGCTGTCAAATTCTGCTCCAAATCAAAAGTGTGGAGTCTTGAGGATTTCAGTCAAGTGGCACAAGCATACATTTTTGAAAGTTAACAAGATACAGAATTTCATTCCAGACTGCAGCTAGTGAGAAAGAATACCTTGTTTTTACAACAGGAAACTAAACTCTCACCAGCAGTGTTCATGTCTGCCAAACTTACATCCTGAAATTAGTGCAAAGATAGTCAGCAGACAGTGTACAGCCTGTGGCTCTCCGTGTTTCTAACTGTCTACCACTATTTAGGAGCACAAAGCAATATATATAATTTTCTTTAATCCTCCAGTGGATGAATAATGATCAAAATGGGGAGCACTAATGTTTTTTGGCCTATGTCTCTGAAGGCTACAGAATATGTATAAGATGTCTTCTAGCAGACCCTCCCCTAAGTTAAGAGTGCTCATCATATGTGGTATGCGGAAAAGCGTCTGTGCCAATCTAGACGCTCTTTTCCGCAAATGCTTTTAACGAAAAACTTTTCCGTTAAAAGCATTTGCGGAAAATCATGCCAGTCTAGACGTAGCCAAGATGTCCCAGTCCCCTGTCACATTGAAGTGCAACCACAGGGACTGCAAGGGGAAGGACTATGACACATACCATCAAGGCAGCACTCTCCACACTTTATCTGCCCAGATCAGATCGGCTAGATCTGGGTCCTGTCCACTTCTGGAAGCGTAGCTCACTGGCAATGTGTGTTTCAGTTTCACCTCTGAGCCAAATGTGGCTGCACAGCCCCAGTTACAAAGCCTTGATGCTCTAGAATGATCCTTGATAAATAAGTTGAATAGGATTGGTCCCAGGACAGACCCTTGGAGGACCCCACTAGTTACCTCTCCCCGCTCTGAAAACTTAATTTATTCCTACCCTTTGTTTCCTGCCTTTTAACCAGTTATCAGTTCATTAATGGACCTTCTCTCTTATCCCATGACAACTTAATTTACTTAAGAGCCTTTGGTGACACACCTTGTCAAAGGTTTTTTGGAAATCTAAGTATACTATACCCCTTGTCCACATGTTTGTTGACCCCCCTCAAAGAACTCTAAATTAGTAAGGCATGATTTCCTTTTACAGAAACCATGTTGACTTTCCCTCAACTAATTATGTTCATCTATGTGTCTGACAATTTTATTCTTAACAATAGTTTCAACTAATTTGCCTGGTACTGTTAGACTTACCAGTCTGTAATTGCCAGGATCACTTCTAGAGCCCTTTTTAAATACTGGTATTACATTAGTTACGTTCCAGTCATTAGGTACAGAAGCTGATTTAAAGGAGAGTTTACAAACCACAGTTAAGTTTCGCAATTTCCCATTTGAGTTCTTTCAGAACTCTTGGGTGAATGCCAGCTGGTCCTGGTGACTTGTTACTGTTAAGTCTATCAATTTTTTCCAAAACCTCTTCTAATGACACCTCAATCTGGGACAATTCCTCAGATTTGTCACGTAAAAAGACTGGCTTAGGTTTGGGAATCTCCCCAATATCCTCAGCTGTGAAGACTGAAGCAAAGAATTCATTTAGCTTCTCCACAATGACTTTATCATCTTTGAGTGCTCTTTTAATACAGGCAGTGCCCGGGTTACGTACAAGATAGGGACTGTAGGTTTGTACTTAAGTCGAATTTGTACTTAAGTCGGAACTGGCATCCAGATTCAGCCGCTGCTGAAATTGACCAGTGGCTGACTACAGAAAGCCCAAGGCAGAGTTTCTCTGCCCCAGGCTTCCTGGAATCAGCTGCTGATCAGTTTCAACAGCAGCTGAATCTGGATGCCTGGGACAGAGCAGCTGGGGCGCTGCTGGGTAGGTCTCTGCAGCGCCGCACCTCAGCTCTGCAGGGACCAACCCGGCAGCACCCCAGGTGCTCTACCCCAGGCGTCCCCAAGTCAGCTGCTGCTGAAACTGATCAGCAGACCAGAGAGACGCGGAGCAGCTTTTCTCGCCCCGGAGGATGCAGGCGGCGGGGCCTCCGGGGGTCCGGGGGGGGCCCCCCCCCCCGG